TTTTTTTTTTTTTTAACCTCAGGAACCTTTGAAAGATGATGGAGAATATGTGTATTGCCTTACTCGGAGTAATCCTAAAGTTCCCTACAATCCATATGATCTTCAGGCAGTCTCTGCTAACACAGCTAGACATTGCAAAGAATTCTGGATTATTACTGCTTCATTTATTTCAAAGGTAATATGTAATAGATGTTTTCAGCTTTCAGAATCATATTAGAAAAAGATTTTTGAATTCAGAATTTAATTGGATAAATTTATCTCTGTGTTTCAGAGAAACCAGATCATTTGAGGAGCAATTTTTTCAACAATGATCTGATTACTCTTTATGTTTAAGAACCTTCTTAGGAGAAAGTTACTTAATAGTGACGTATCTTTCTTCTTTTTAGAGTTCTAGGTTTGAGAATTCAACTTTTAAGAAAACTTTTATTAATATTTGGTGTAATTTTTTTTTAAGGAAGATAGTAGGCATTTACTGGCATAATAGAACCTGTAATAATAATAATAATGTGTTTTTCATTGGCAGAATTTATCAGAAACTTTATTGTCAGTTGTAGAAATCCCTTTACTATACTCTTACATAGAACTTTGATATTTATCACAAGTCTGAAATTATATAGTTCTTTGATCATTTATTTAATGTTTGTCTGCCTACCTCTGCCATCTCAGCCTTCCAACTAAACTCTAAGTATGCAAGGGTGGGATCACATCCGTGTGAAGTAGATCAGTATGTGCAGATATGGAAATATCTCTAATCTGCATTATTAAATGAAAAAGGAAGTAAAAGCATCTATGTAAGAAAAAAAGTACATATAGATACATATGTGTTGATACAGGCATTTTCATTTCTGGAAGACATTTCACAAAAATGTTAACATTCAGATGGGGGAAGAGGGATTCTTGGAAAGAGAGAGAGTTCCTTGCTGAATGGCGTGTAGTTTTTGAATGTCAAGTGGGGTATCTGGGTAGCCACTTTGTGACTACTACATCCCTGTAGTTAAAATTGAGTTCCAAAATACTACTTTTTTAGAAAATACAAAAATTCTATAACAAAAAAATGAATAGCTATTTATAGAAAGTATCTCAGGATGAGAAAGAAGTTTCTTTTTTTCTCTGTTGGAGCACAAGAAAGAGCATTAGAAAATAGCAAGTATAGAAGCAGTTTATCAAGGGAAATCAAGTTTGGGTGTAGGTGAAGTGGCTGAGGGTTCATATCTAGAAAAATCTTTATTATGAAGGTCAGTAATTATGAGCCAAATGCAGGCTTTCTTAATTTCTTGAAAATAGCACATATTTCTTTAAGAAATAATGATTTGTACTTTATATTTGCAGGTTACTAAAGTAGGTGATACAGAAGAAATAGAACTCTTGCCTATTACGGAATGGCTAATGGAAAGAAAATGTTACTATTTATTACAGACTTACAAGATATTTTTCAATTTCCGGTGAGATGAAGAGAAACCAATTACTTGTAGTTTGAAAAAGCAATTTCCTGGATAGTCATATTTATGGGAAATTATAGAGGAAATGGAGTATTCCATAAAAATTTTTTTTAGATCAAAGGAAGCTTACCCGTTTAAGTACTAAAGCTCTTAATTTTAACCATTTTGGGTAATATTGTAAAAAAAGACATTTTATACTCAAGCAAACTTAAATAGAATATATTTATCCTAATTTACCTTGTGTTTTTTGTACATTTATTTATCCATTAAATGAATATTTTTTGAGAGTTTACTGTGAACAAGTGTGATTCTAGATGCTGGGAATACTGTATTGATCAAACCAAACAATTCCCCTGCTCTCAAAGAACCTATATTATCGTGGGTGAGACAGATAATAAACACATAGATTAACTTTTCAATTCCTCTTCAAGTAGGTTCTCACAAGTACATTTCTTGATTTTATCTCTGAGTTTTTAAAATTACAAAATATGTATTTTAATGTATTAAATAAGATCAAAATTACATATTTTAATTTTTTACTTACCACTATGCAGACATTTCTTATCAATGTACTTTTTCATTATCACTGAGACTGAATCTTGACCCTTCTTGAAATGAGTTTCTTTTGAAAATAGTAGGGGAATACATCAGGATTGGAGGAAGATATTAACAACCTGCGATATGAAGATGCCACAACCTTGCTTGCTGAAAGCAAAGAGGACTTGAAGCACTTACTGATGAAGATGGAAGACCACAGCCTTCAGTATGGATTACATCTCAACATAAAGAAAACAAAAAAATCCT